ACGGAGACAAACAATGACTTGAAATAGCTCCACAGTTCATCAACACTTACAGATTATCCATTGGGAGATGCAGYGAGATTCCAATTAATAGCAGCAAGATCCCTGCGGAATTCATTTGTGCTGTAATTAGCATAGATCCTGAATCATTTATATTCTGTGGAGAGTTGGTTGCAACAAGATATTTGAATTTCAAGCTTTTGAACAGCGAYTTCAGTTGTCTACAGTCCCAGCTGTTACGCTTAGAAAGGACCATAAGTCTAATCGAGATTTATAAAATAAACAATAATGAAGTGCCAATCACCTTAGCTGGCATACTAAATCAGATATATCAGATATGGACTGTCTGCTGCATGCTCACTTTGTATCAATCACCAATTATTACTCAAGATGATGATGATGGAGATGATGATGAATAGACAAGAAGTCATGAAAGTCATTTATTCAAAGAACATCCAAGACAGTTGAAAATAGATATCCTAGTTTTACCATCGCGTACAATTGCCCATCATCTTCGGTCATGACCACGCGGAAAATGAGTACGAATTCCGAAACAATAAATTGTTCTACTCGCGATATGATTGGTCAAAAATTACTTCYGCTGTCTTGCTCGGATATTTTTTTAAACGGAGTGTCTAAACGTCAGTCGAATTTTTTCTTATAAAATTRTCGGAAAACCATAATTTCAATTAATACAACAAGGGAAATGCAATAAAGACCGAAATAATACTGTTCGACAAGTTTCARACACAAGCACTGYACTTTGAGATTTTTTGACTGCCTGACATTTAGTCCCAGAACTAAACATYAGGTAGCAAATTTTTTTGTGAAAAATTGTCGGAATAAGCGTAATTTCAATTAATACAACAAGGGAAATGTACTAAAGACCGAAATAGTACTGTTCGACAAGTTTGTATAGTCACAAGCACGGCATTTTGAGATTTTTCGACTGCCTGACGTTTAGTCCCAGTACTAAACATCAGGCAGTCRATGTTTTTTTGAAAAGTCGTCGGAACAACCGTAATTTCAATTAATACAACAATTTTTCCACCATTCCGTAGTATCTTCTAACTAAGTATCTTCCATGTTTTGCATATTTTCCACCTCTCAAAAACTGAACTTACACGACATAAACGAGAAGCTCTGAAGGACATGTGATAGAAAAAGGAGGTGGAGCTATCCAATGGTAGTCATGGAAATGTCTACGATTGACATCGGTAAAATGCATGAATCAAGTAGGAATTTTCGTTCGACTCCCTAAGTGTTATCCGTAACAGCTGTTACGGCTTGTGGTCAGTAACAAGCTTAAACTCAATGCCTAACAGATGCATACGAAAATGCTCACATGCCCATACTAGCGATAATGCGCCTCGCGTTGTCTGTGAATACCTTCTTTCTACGTATGACAAACTCCTATGACCATATGCTACAACTCTATCAACACCTCCTTGTTTCTGAACCAAAGCTGCWCCTAATCCTACTGGAGAAGCATCGCCTATCAATGTTGTCTCTGCCATTCTATCAAAATAAGCTAAGCGTCTAAGTTGTACCAATACATGACTTACTCTTCTGAAAACTATCTTATCTTTCCTGTGTCCCGTCTCTCAACGGGGCAAATATAGTTGCCAAGTCTGGAAYATAACGTCCTATATACTGTACTAATTCTAGAAAAGCTCTTAGCTCTGTCACATTACTTGGTGCCCTAGCCTTGACTATAGGTTYTATCTTTCTAGGATCTGCAGCTACACCATTATCTGAAATTACATGACCTAGAAAATTAATGGATAAATTACCAAACAAGCATTTCTCCGGGTTAAGTGTTAAACCCCTATCGGATAATCTCGTCATGACGTTAATTAATCTCCTCTACCAATACTTTCTGATTGTATACTGAAATACCTCTGGGTCACTACAAATCCCCATACCTAACCTTTTCATTCTAAATAGTCCMACATGTGTCGTAAATGTGGTGATGTCGCGTGACTCTTCCYCCAACTCTAACTSAAAGAAACCTTGTTTTAAATCTAATTTAGAAAATACAGGTTCCGCTAACATCTCTTGCATTGTTGGAATTGGATAACGCTCACGTATCACTGCCTTATTCACCTTCCTAAAATCAATACACATACGTATATCATTGTTATTCTTAGGAACAACAACAATAGGACTAACCCACTTTGAAGCTATTCCWTCTACTGGTTCGATGATGTCTTCGCTTTGCAGTTTCGTTAACAGATCAACCACTTTAGTTCGACATCCAAAAGGAAGTCATCTCACCAGCTGYGCTACTGTTTCAATGTTTGGGTTAATATGCAGTTTAACCTTACTACTATTAAGTTTTCCCACCCCTTGAAAGCAATTTGGAAAACGTGACTTAATTTCTAAATCTAAGTTTGATGAYATTCCACTTATCGATGTAACTTGCAATAGATTCAATGCCTTAGCGGTGCTATGACTAAATAAATTACTTACATTGGCATTCCCATCAAAAACATAAAAAATAGCTGATGTATTGACCATATTAACAATGATTTCTACACTAAATTGTCCTTTATGTCCTTCTATATCGGCTAAACGTGCCGTACATGTGAGACTCACCCCTRCATTATTAATTTCCTCCAATGAAAATAGATTGAATAACGAACTTGTGTTCTCTTGACTTTTGCTATGGTCTTGAACTGCTTCGTTATTTTCGACAACCTGATTTTGTCCTCTATGGCGTGTGTTGGCAAAATTCCTCTGCTGGTCCCGTGGTCTGGCTTAACAAAATTTTGATCCTGCAAAGTGTCCTTTTTCTTTGCATTTTCGGCAYTYTTTTCCAGTCGCCTTACACTTGTCTTTTTCGTTKGCCTTGTGTCCTTTCTCCCACAGCGGTAACACTCCAGAGTAGTTTGATTCACTCTTGCTACCATACCGCTGTCTTCTGTAGACCGCGACGTTGACGGTATTTCAACCTTGTTGTCGAGTAAAAGAAAGGTGTTGGCTAATTGAACCGCTTCGGCAATTTTCAAGGTATTCCTTTTCACTAACARTTTTCTTTCAAGGGCTGGATTTCTCATCRGGCTATAAACTGTTCTGCCAAGTTTTCTTCTAACATCGTRCCCACAAAGCCAAAATGCCTGACCACATTCCTTAATCGAACTTCAAACTCGGCAACACTTTCACCGTCCTTTCTTTTCATKGCGCGAAACATCGCCCTCTCCATTTGTACACTGTACCGAAATGTCCCTTGAGTCTTTCCACCAACGTGTCAAAATCCAATTCCTTTGGTATCGGTGGAGCCACAAGATCTCTCGAGGTCTCGTACTGACAGGATGTTGGTCCACATAACAAAATTGCCACCTKTTGTTCTTTCTTCGTCTTCAAAATAACTTTCGATGTCCCCTACACCATCACACCATCACAAGTAGGAACACGAATTCCAGATTCAGCCATGATCACCCCCTACCCCCGTCGCCAATTTAACGTACTTTGACGCTTTGTTGAGTAAAACGTTTATTGAGTCACTTCGAACTCTAATACAACAACTACTAATATAGATTATACATTCTAGAGTGATTTTCATAAACCCGTGAAACAAAAGTTAGCTAATAACTTTTATTAACGAATAATAATGTGTAATTGCAGTTATTAACGTAATTTTATTTTGAAAACAATAATATTAATTACAACTTCAGCTAGGTATAAACTTCTGCTTCAGCTAATTAAACAAATATATTCCAAGATCTTCTATAGAAGTTTCTTACACAAACAGGATCAATCTTTTGAAAAGCACTGACGATTGCTAATAAAGGGTTTTCTCTTATATATCCTGGATTATAACGAGCAATGGCTTTTGCATGGCAAAAAACCATTTCTATAGGATTTAAATCGTAACTATAGGCAGGTAATTTTACGAGGGTAATGTTTTTTGTGCTAAGAATTCTAGCTATCTGAATTTCGTTATGAATACTCGCATTATCGGCTACTAGGTATGAGTTCTGAGGAAGCAAAGGCACAATCTGGTTTTGCAAGATGTCATTGATTAAAATTGCTTTTAAGTTTCCTTGCGTAGGTATTGCTTGGATAAGGCCATTAACAAGTCCGCAAACAGCGAGGGTTGAATATTTTGAGCCTCTTGCTCTCCCTTTTGGTCTGAACGAAGGGCAAGCCATACCTGAATCCGACCAACCATATTGGCGTTCATCGGTCTCACAGTCAAAGCACGTTTCGTCAAAGAAAAATATAAGTCTCGGATCAATTGTTGCTCTCCACCTGAAAAAAAGCTGTCGACAACGTCGGATTCTAAGAGACATTCGTTCACAGGCCACATGAACACATCTTTTTCGTGTTWTTTTAAGATTACGGAACAGTCTTGCTATTGACGCTACAGATGGTACATCATGCATTGCTAACTGGAAGTCCTGGAGTAACAGCTGTTGAAGCTCACGTAGATATAAGGAAGGATAAACACGCACTAAAGCTTCGAGATAAGATTCCATCCACCAACTTATTTTTTTTGGACGAGCATTATCGGCAATCTTTGACACTAGTGTTGCTTTATCTTTGAATAATTTGACATATTTATCCGCATAGTTGTACGAAATATGACATTTTCTTGCTGTGACAGCTAAGTTGTGGGTTTCAAGGTATGAAATAATAATTTCAACTCGCTTTTGCATGGAATATATAGTTCCATAACGGTAACAACCTCGGTTTGCATTGATATGCCAAGGCATAATTGAATGTGGAATGATGATAGCATTTGCTTTGCGAGCGATGTTTATCCGCCCCACCCACCCTCCCGAAACAATGCAATGAAATGTATTTCCAAAATCAAAACAGAAAAATTAAATTGCTTGTTCACAATGGTTTACACGATTACGTATTGAAATAAAAAGCCGCCTCATTAAGCATAGGTAAGAATTAAAAGTAAACTGCAGGATTACGCCTAATGAGATGAAGGCAAAGACTATATAAAGAAGTAAAATTCTCATTCAGTGTCTTGGTGAAACAAAATGTCTGGTCGAACTTGCATGAAGTGCCGTTTACACGGAAAAATTGTACCTCTAAAGGGACACAAACGAAATTGCCCATACACCAACTGTAATTGCTTGCGTTGTGCGAGCCATGATAACTATCTAGAGAAAGGAAACAGCAAACGTAGCGAAAACTCAGACAAAGGACTTCAATGGAGGCAAAATCTCAATGCAGAAATTGAAGCAAAAAGCGGCTCCCCACGTGGCTTCATCACTTGTAGCACTTCAACAAGCACTCAAACAAGCACTCAAACAAGCACTTCAGTAAGCGTTGTACAGTTTCCGAAACCTAGGAAAGAAGAGGATAGTCATTTTGCTCTTCAACTGGCGGATTTGATGACAGCCAAATCGGTAGTGGACAAGAAGAAAACACTAGCTGAAAAAAGAAAAGGTTTGTGATATTTTCTCTTAATGTTGATAATATTTCCCTCATTCAAAGTTAGAAAACTGAAACGCTTGCAATTGACTGAGTTGACTCTCTGTTTAAATTTGAAATTTTGATTTTAATGTGATTCATAATCTTAGATTTTTGTTTCTTTTATAGAGAAGCAAAGAATGCAGTTGCAAAGACACCGTACATTGTATAACAGTGTAAATCAATATGCCMAACAAGTTTCTAGTTACGATGAAAACCTAAACCCCGTGACAGTGCTTAAAACAGCAATCCAACTGCATCAATTGCATCCAAAAGCAAGTGAAGTGAAAAAAGAAACGTTGCCAATTATTCAGCCACATGTGGGATCACTTTTAGCCCAGAATAAATCTAACAATTTTAACGACAAAATCACAAGCCTGAGGCAGGTGCTACCAACAGTACYAGAAGCAAAACTTGCCGCACTTTTAGCAGGAAATGGAGGAGATATGGATGCTGTGGTGCAAGAAATTCTCGAGACTACGCCTGACGAGGAGAATAGCACTACGGAGTGTTCTACTACTACTATAGTTGACTTAGAAGCAGAAGAAGAAAGCAAACACACAGAAGTCCCAGCCCTAAAGTCAGCCCTAAACTGCGACTTCGAACTTCTCGCAAAGATCCAAGTGGATAAAGCAATCTTGAAGGATATAGTGACCAACGTCAAAGCCAATTCGAAAGAAAGAGAAAAAGACGAGCCAAGAATTATTTCATTCAACAAGTTGGACGATGACCCACAGTTGSTTTCGATTTCAACCCCAACAGAGGAAAACAAAAGGAAATGCCCTCAGTGCCAACGCCTTATTGCAATAGAGAACTGTTTCTTTTGCTGCTATTGTGGAGCAGTTTTAGACAAGCAGCATATAAGGTGGTAAAATATATCACTAATGATGCAGCTGACCTTTCTTGTCCTCCCAAACGAATATTTTCAATATTATTAAAAGAAATGTCACGTGACTCATTGTATATTGACTTTCTGCACATGCCAGGTGTGTAAACAGGCATTGAATATTAAATATAGAATATRTCAAGCTGCTGTCCAGATAGTATAGTAATAAATTGGTATTGGAATGTATGTTAATTTTGTTTGAATGAATTCTGATTAAAAGTACCGAAAAGAAAGTCTAACGGGTATTAGCTCATACTAGTTGATATGAACAATTATTACGCTAACATTTGTTTCACGGGTTTATGAAAATCACTCTAACATTAGTTAGTAAGTTAGTTATTTCGAGTGAACTCGAACTACATTGACTACAATTGTTGGCAAAATACCTTGGACCGTACAATTATTTGTCACCAGCCTAACATTTTTCTCCTTTATTTTATCACAGTTTTCCCCCATATCCCCCTTTCATCAATGTTGGGTCTTGTTTTGGATGCTTGTGTACTATGGTAACATGATCAGTGACAACATTGCATTAAGGKGGTCAGGGGGGATGAAATTGTCTTTGGGTGTTGCTTAAAATGAGGAAATTCGCTGGAATGGTCCAAGGATTTTGTCAACGATTGTAGGCTGCTCCATCTAACTTTATCCGCCRTACATAACTTTAGCTCTTCAACATTCAATCCAGTGTCTCTTGTCAACTGGTCGATGTATGTCAAGGCAGGTCTCTCCCTTTTTCTTTTTCCATGTTTCAGCTGCAATWAAAGCAATTCTCTGACTAATTAATCATTTCTCCTCCAACTGTGTCCGATAAAGCGTAACTTTCTGATTTTCAGTATTTCAGTGATTTTCGGCAGATTTTCATAGAGGATTTCGTTGGGTACGCGGTCTTTCCAAGAGACGCCAAGAATTGCCCTTAGCATCTTTGTGTATGTGCCGTTCAATCTATTTGTCATTTTCACTGTCATTGTCATTTTAAGTTGCTTTTCCATGTCTTTTTGGCTTGACTGAAGCCAAGAGCCAAGATATTTAAAATTATCAACCTGTTTGAGTCTGTTCCCGTGTAACGTATATAGTCCGCCATCAGGTTGGTTKAAGTACATATACTCTGTCTWTTTGTAATTGACATTAAGACCTAAGGTTTTGGCAGCTGTCWCCAACTTAATAAGGAGGGTCTGAGCTTCATCGAAAGAGTTTGAAAAAATAGCGAGATCATCTGCGAAAACAGCATCAGTGATATGTTTTGAAGGATGGCGAGAACTTTGACGAGTAGAAAGCTTAAATTCYAGGTGGTTTTCCTCTGTTGCTTCTCTTAGTGCGTAGTCCAACACTATGATGAACAGAAAAGGTTCCAAAGTATCTCSATGGAGCACGCCAGCCAGTATGCGAAAGAATTCAGTGTCTCCKTCAGGTGTTAGCACTTGCGCTTCAGAGTCTCTGTACAGGATATCAATGGCATTGACTATCTTGGATGGTATGTCATACAYTTTTAGAATCTCCATCAGTTTTCCTCTGTGGATTGAGTCAAACGCTTTGCTGAAGTGAACGTGATWACAGCTGATAGCTGTCTTTAATACCTTCAATCAGTCTCCGAAGTGTAAGRATTTGCAACAGAGTCGACCTTCCTGATCAGAATCCATTTTGGTTCTTTCTAATCAGAGGATCTAAATGTGKTCGTATTCTATCGAAAAGAATCTTATTATAGATTTTAGACGCTATGACTGTCAGTAATATCCTTGATCACCTTGTTTTGGAAGGGTGACGATTCCACTTTTCACCCAGATGTCAGGCTTGTCTCCATTAAAAGTTTTGTTACAAACATCAAGCAGTTGTTGATTCAATGCTCCTGTTTTCCAGACTTAAGTTGGTATGTTGTCTAGTCCTGTGGCTTTATTATTTGTGAATCCTTTAATACATTTCACAAACTAAAAATGTCCAAGAAAGAAACGCCAAACCCGCGCTGCAATGTAAGTTCTGTTACTTAATATTTACAGTTCTGTTTGCATAATTATCTTGACATTAYCAAGACATCCATTGTTAAGCAGAAGTGCTCTCCATCGATAGAGATTTTACTAATTTCTCCTTGTGCAGAGGAAACGCAGACCATGCATGAAGTACAAGTTGTGAATCTTAGTAACCATTTCTCGAAATAAACAGATATAAAAGTAAATTTTCTTAACAAACAGATTCTCTGCTGCATCTTTAGTATGTACACATAATTTGCACCAAGTTAATCCAGCTATTCCCATTACCCCTTGGATCTGATAGCTATATACTGAAATAAAGGAATCATTAGTTCGTGTTCGTTTTTGTGTTAGTACAATAAGAGTTATGTCAATGGCCTTGCAGCTCATGTAATACCTTAGWGATTTGTATTATGTATAAATGTAGTTCAAAGTTGTTCAACAATTGTGTCATAATATTCTTGTCTTCAACGGTTATTACACTGATAATAGTATTTATGATTTTGTTTCAGTGTTATCTTTCCATCATTTTCAGCATACACTTTCTTCGTCTTGCCACTTACAACACACTTTACTTCCAACACTCCACCTTAGTGTTTTCTTTTGGGTTATGCCATCAGGAGAAGCACCCATCCAGTACAGCTTAGGGTTTACTAATAATCCACATTTGAATACCTTCGCATATGATCCAGAAAGCTCTTTGAAATACTAACCACTTGTGGTTCCTTTTTAATACCATATCTCATATACTCAGTTTGAACAGTTGTTATGCCAAAAAGACTTTTCAAAAATGCTTGTGTGACAGGTGCTTTTCTTTTCGTCAAATCTTCAAATTTAGAACTAGTAATTCTGTGTGATTTTTCCTGATACCAAATGTTACTCTCTGATTGACTTCCATTGTTTTTCTCAATATCTTTTCGATTTTTCGGGTGTGAACATGACTGACTGTAAACAAAAGTTTCTCTTTATCAAGTATAAGTCAATTTCTGCAAGTGCTTTGCTTAAAGTGATATCTGCTGGAAACTCGAGCACACTCTCCAATTGATCTGAAGTATAGACTGTGTTCAACATGACATCTGGGTAAATACCCCATAACTGATGCGCCAATGTACTCCTTTTAGTGGATTTCCCCATGGTAAACTTACTCTGTCATCATCAGTATTGTTTACATACTATAACCAAAAAGCATAAGAGGTAGGGCAGTCTTTTCTGACAAGTGGTAATCGGTCCTTAGTTGTGGAGGCAGCTTCTTTTATAGCTGTGGTGCAACTTTGCTTTTGAGGCCCTGTTTTTGATTGACCTCCAGCGCTTATAAATCCACAGCAATTTGGCAAGCCTGGTAAAAAGAGTTCTCAGTCTTGTTGAATCTGAGCCATTGAAAACAGTTCATCAAGTCATTGATGTAGCTCTGTTGTATGGGTTTCTCTTGGCCATATTGATCATTCAAAGTCTTTATAGCTGCATCATAATTGGCTTTTGTAAGGAACACCTACCACCATTGACTTCTCTACTTAAGAGAGTGCTTCATTCTTGTGCATAGTTATTTTGAAGCTCTCCTAGAACCATCTCCAATTATCGTAACTTTGCTTCCTATTTTTTCCTCAATCTGGTATGATTCGTTTCTCAGCTCGTCTTAAGCATTTCCTCTAATTTTAATGTCACAGATAGAAGATCTCCTTGCATCTCTTCCTGTTTTCTGATCTTTTCTATTTCTTTGTACATGTTGTCCTTTAGAGTTGTCCAGAAATAAACTTTGCTTTGACAATTTTATACAGTTTGTAAGTGTATTTCCTTGCCATTTCATTTCGGAAAAAGTATAGCAAGGGGTTGACTCCAGACTTCAGAAACAGCAATGCAATCCCAAGCTGAAAGACGGCTTCTTGAGCATTAAGTTGATATTCACTGATATTCCTGCTATTGAATTTTTTCACTAAACCTACTATGGTCAGTGGAAGGTAGCTGACAAACAAGGAAATGGAAATAAGAGCAACAGTTTGAAGTCCTTTACGTTCTGTTGGCATTTGTTGCAAGTCTGGGTTTACACTCAATTRATCTGCTCTAATCTTTTTGATATGTATCCTGGATATTTTKTGGATCTTAACATAAATGGTTGTCACGAAAATCGCACCTATCACAAGAATGGAAAAGGGAGCTGTTCGATGATCRTCTTGCACAGGAAAGAGGAAGGCTGAAACAACGCCAAGAATAAGACCAGTAATCCACGAGCTAACAATTGTAATCTTTACACGTTTGATAGTGACTATCAATACATACTTCAGAGAGTGCGTGATTGCTATATATCTATCAATTGTTATCAAGCAGAGGGTGCTTACGTTTGCAAAAAGKATGGTCAGACCAAAGGCATCAAGGAAATATACCCAATTTAGGGTGAATATCTTRTCTCTGTCTTTTGACATCGTGATGCTCCTGAATAGAGTGTTGATGTGAAGCACTTGCAGAACAAGCCCATTTAAAAGGTCAACTACAGCYAGATTGGCAAGGAACAAATTGGCAGGAACTCTTAGTTGTCCRTACACTATGACAAGAAGAATGACAATGGAATTGCCAATGAAAGTTAAAACTACTATGAGTATGTTTGTTATGAGCAAAAACACTGCAAAGCCATAACTGAACTCCACCATCCTATTGGCACTTTCAAAGTAAACGTGTTTGTCATCCATATCCAGAGGTTGAAATGAAGAGTTGATGTTCATCATGCGACCTTGAAATTTGTGTGCTTACCCGTCTAAAAGAAATAAAAACATTCATTACAAGGTGGAATGGCAAGAAACCACCGATTGAATCTTAGCTAATGCAGGATACATTGATATAAAACCCTGCCAATTCACCTATAAAACAAAGTTTGGACATTAGCTCTATCTCATAAACCTTACCGACTGCCATGAACGAACAAAGGAAGAGTTACGTCGCAGGTGAGTTTTTATTTCTTAAAATGAAGAAAAGGGTGAAGTGCCTTATGTTTGAGGCACATGTAAAATATTATTAGAGAAAAATTATTATTATTATCAAAGGGAGCCACGTGGCCAAGCCATGTTGACGTTCCATTCATAAATAGTAGGAAAAGGGTGAAGTGCACTTGGCAAGAGGCACATAATATAATATTATTTAGATATGTATATATCTAATATGAATAAAATAGACAACTTCTGAACAATCTACAATCTATGATGTAATATTCAATACAATATTGTTTCGTATGGTGCAGAGGACCACACTCATCAGGTAAAAGCATTACACGACCGTTAAATCTGAAAAGGTTTACATTAAATAACAAAGTTAAAATATATTGGGTGATGCTAATGTATGAAGTTACAGATTCGTGACATTTCAGCTACATGTCAAGGTTGCTTTTTGTGATGGCAATTTTTTATACAAAAAAATACAGTTTCACACAACATAAACCGCTATAACAAATTATTGGCAGCAAATCACCCTGCATAGTGAGGGTTAGTCATCCAGCATAGTGTGGTATGACCATGACTGCATAATATGGTCTGAATAACCCAGTATAGTGTGGGCTCAGAGCCAAATGGAATGGGAAAACCCAGCATAGTATTGGGAAACCCATTGAAAGCAACTTGCAAGTTTACCAGCATAATGTGGCATGACAGTTAGACAGACTCCATCAAGGCCTTAAACCAGCATGGCACTGGCTGAAGGCCCTCATTAAAGGAGCATTGAACCCAGCATAATGTGCATAACTGCAAAATAAAATGACTAACAATGACTATTACAAATGGTCTTCAATCAGAACAACTTAAAACAAACAACTCACATGTTATGTAACTTTTTAAGGGCCTGAAGGCCCCTCGATAACTGTGAACGCCATCATGCAATAAAACCTTGCACGTAGGCTGCAATAAACCACAATGGCTCCAATAAAAAACATTGTGTCCATCGGCTAACACGACCTTCAGGTACTGGTTAACTATTTGGGCTTTGGCATTCAGCTCGTTATCATTCCGCGGAATAATGCCACAGACCACAGCAACATGCACGGATAGCTCTGTTAACAAAGCAGTCACAAGGTCATCAATCTGAGAACCAATGACGTCAGTCCTAATGCTTGATAAGTCATTCGTTCCGCCTCAAAACTGTTGAAGAAATCCAGTCGGATAAAGAACTCCAGTTGAAGTACAAACAAAAGCGAACCAGGCAAACCGATTACCTCACAAATGTGAAGAAGTTAACTGGAATAGATCGGGATTTAACAAAAAACCTGAATAAGAAAAAGTAATTATCTCCATCGGAGCAAACTTACGCGTATCAACGTGAAGTCAAAAATTAATCCTTTACATCGACTATTTCAAAACTTTACGTCGAAATTAAAGAAATAGACCATTCTTAGTCATTTCACGCAAATATGCAAACAAATACCAAAATGAATATGCTGAAAAAATTGTACAAAGGGGTGCAACTCACCTTAGAATCTCAATAAAAATTGGTAGTTTTAACCAATATAAAATCTAAAGAATCAACCATAAAGAATTGGTTAAATTGACCAATTCTTGATGGTCACTCAAACCAATTTTAAATTGTGCCCAGGGTGAATCTGAGGTAACCAATTTATAATTGGTCAAACATGCAAATTCAAGCAATTGTTTTCGTTACTAATACATTGGTCAGAACAACCATATTTTTATTTGGTTATTTGAACCAATAAAAAGTCTTCAAATTACCAAATTAAAAAAAATGGCTGAGCTTATTAATTTATTTGTAACCATAAGCAATTTCGAGATTGATCTACAAATAAAAACAAAACACAAACAAACATCCATCCAAAGTAGTTTAATATTAAGTCTGTAATTCACTCGCTTGCTTCATCAAAGATAAAAAATGATCAACGCCAAGGGGCAGGGAGACTTGCTCCTTTAGCAAGAGGTGCTCCAATAAAATAAATATAATTTTATTAGGCACTTTTGGATATGCTGCATTAAATACAGCATAGAAGAGTCAAAATTTCCAATAGTGCTTAAAGCTACAAACAACCATTCCTTCTGGAGCAGGTAAAGTGAGTTAACATCCAACACTCTCCCTGTAGATATTAGCTGGGTGTAGACGTTTTCTCTATATTTCAGATTTTGCATCATTGTCGCCCTGAAATAAAAAAATAAAAAAAACCATATGTCAGGATTTTTGAAATATTTTAGAGATATTTTGGTTTCTCTAAGTGCATTCTTGCTAGTATAATTTTTTTGTTGTTTTAAGAAACTTAACACAATGATACTTTAATTCCCTGAAATACCTATAGAAAACATTTACCAATAGGTTTATCTTGTTTGCTTATAACATCCCCCTCACTTAACATTACACTGTTTGGTAAATCTATGTTTTTTCCCTTATTGTGTACATTTTGGTCTTCAAGGGCACTTTCTTTTTCTACTCTCATCCATTTATAAAAATATTCATTGGTAATGTTTTTGGCTTGGGTGTAGGACTTTTCTTATTTTCTAATTTAACACTCAAATCTGAGATTTTATTTGGCATTGGAATTTGCCTGTGCTATTTTTTTTAAGCTGGAGCTGGACTCTTCCTTTTCTCTGTTTTACCTTACACAGTTTCTTTCCTGCTCCTTTGGGAATATTTTTGTTATGATCTTTAAAGTCCAGACTGCTGATTATTTGAAAGAAAAGTATTTCATTACAGGACCTTATAGGCACTTGACTGCACAAAAAAGGTTAAAACCCACTAAACGTATTTATCCACAGGAATCTAGCTTCTATCTAGTCATGAGAAAGAGCCATTAAACAGTATTATATTTAAAATTACATAACACGATGCACGAGATATTTCTGGGGAAACTGACGAGGCTTCTGTACTTGTACTTACCAACTCCATTTGAATCAGATAACTTACCTACAAAAGGAAACCAAGTAAACTTTAGTTTTAAGTTGAATTGTAATACGGAAGTAAAAATAACTCTACGATTGCTACGCAATCTCCGATTTAACTAGGGGAAATAAAAAATGTATTAAATTGATATATAATGAATCAAGAAAAGGCGATTTCAGTAGAACAAATATTGAAATTTTAGTTTCGTTATGTGAAATTAAAATTGGGGCTATCCGCTGTACTAAGTAATTCGCGGGCTTTTAAAACACGTGACCTTGACTGAAAAATGGCGGGAATTACTGATACGGGGCAACTGTCACGAGGACCAGCATACATACAACTATACAACCAATCAGGCAGTTATTAACAAAAACAATACATCTATATAAAATAATCAATTCATTCAGTTATTGATAATCAAATGATACCTTTTTAGTTACTTGACTCCATACAGAATGCCAATTGCTTGCGAGTCTTCATCACGAGGATGATTTGATTCAAGTAAGCCATAGTGAGATCGAAAATATCCTCGCTGTCAATTTCGTTTGCTGAAACATTCTCGATCCGCTTTCTCCCAAACCATTTATGCTTAGGGCACCTTGCCCAAATTAATGAGTTGAGGCACTCATTTGGATTTTGTGTATGTCCTGGTAAGCACCTTTCTAACAAAGAGTCATTAGTTAGCCTTTCATAGACCGGCTTTAGAAAGTCACTGAATACGGGATCAAGATGGTGGTTCCTGTTGACAAATGGCTTACGTCTAAACGTACTTTTATACGAGCACCATGTTGCTGAGCAGTGCTGATGCCTTTCTTTATCAGGTAGCTTACAGCTGTGATATAGTCCAGCCTTAATCTCATTCTTCATTTGTGTGATAGCACTTTTTTTTCATTTGGGGTTAGGTTGCCTCGTTATATATTATTTCGGATGGCGTTGCCATAGTATTTCTGTAATTTTTTTCAATAGCACTCTTTGTGAGTCTACCTGATTTTCCACCTATGGGTTTGCCATCTGTAAGCTTCCCTTTTTCTTTTTGCAAGTCTCTCAATGCTTTGCCCATACGTTACAGCACATGGCCAACACAGTCAAGCTTTTGGACTTTTTGGCAGTCAGCCTCACCACTATTATGCTTCTCTAAGTAGTCCAGATATTCAGTCGATGATTTCCATTCGACATATATTTCTGATTTCGTGTCTAAATTGTTTATCTTCTCATCTATCGCCTATTATTCTCTATAGCTCAAGAGCAGCTTAACTTCCTTAAGTTTATGTGGAATGGCACCTTGTATGAATTTCAAACTTTACCTATGGGTCTTACTAGTTCAACTAAAATTTTCCCTAAAGTGATGAAGCCACCCCTGGCAATTTTAAGGAAAATGGGCTTCACTATTTTGGGGTATATTGATGATTTCTTTTCATGTCAAACAATTGCCTCAGAGAAACATTCATTCGTTTGCCAAACGTTTGTTGACTATATATGGTAATCTTACCTTATAAGGAAGTACGATAGAAAGTTTTTTTCAAGTTTTTTCCATCTTTTAGTGCTTTGAAATGGCTAAAACTTACAGATTTTGCAGAGAAATCGCTTTTCAACATGTCGGCCATTATAATTTTGTCCTAGTCCCCTCCCAACCTTGAAAATAAGGAATCCCACAAAAGACACAGGTAGCCCGCGCGAATGTTAGCAATTGTTTGATATGTTACAAGAAAGAGATATCGAGGAATGTAAGAATAATGTCAGGGAGACTGTTAAGCTTTTCCTGAGTCTAGGTTTTACTGTTCACCCAGAGAATTCTGTACTTATCCCTAGTCAGAATTGACCTTTCGGCGGTTTATTTTGAATTCTCAAGCTATGACAGTTA